TTTTTTTTTCTTTTATCTTTCTGTCTTTCTTTTTTTTCTTCCTTTTTTGAGACAGAGTCTCAGTCAAACAAACACAGTTTAATGGTTTTTAATTTATTTTTCTCTCTCTTTCTCTCTCCCTCTCTCTTTCTTTCTCTCTTTTTTGAGACAGAGTCTCTCTCTGTTGCCCAGACTGCAGTGCAATGGCATGATCATAGCACACAGCAGCCTCAAATGCCTAGGCTCAGGCCATCTTCTGGGCTCACGTGATCCTCCTGTCTCAGCCTCCCCAGTAGCTAGAACTACAGGCATTTCCCCCAGTGCCCTGCAAAATTTTTAATTTTTTATATAGACGAGGTCTTACCATGTTGTCCAGTCTGGTCTTGAATTCCTGGCTTCAAGCGATTCTCCCACCTAGGCCCCCCAAAGTGCTGAGATGACTGACATTTCTGGTCCACTTTTACTGTTTTAAAAAAATATTTTACAGTAACTTAAGTGGACCTTTCAAGATGTCTTAATAGAGGCCACAGTGAGCATTTTAAAAACATAATTATTTGGTTTAATAGCATCATTCATTGGTATTTTATTTTTTATAAAATAAACATACCATCTATAAATTAGTTATAAAGTTATTAAACGAGATCAAATTAGATAATATTTGAAGTGCACATTACATGATCATCATTCAACAAATGTTAATTTTTTCCGTAATAGAGTAAGTGCAAAGATAAGCTTCAGTCACTGGGAAGTTTTAAAGAGATCTGTAGTTCTCCTAAATCGTCAAAAGATGTCAGTATTAGGACATAGTAAAATGAGTATGTCACTAGTTTTTTCCTAAGATGTCAAGAAAATATAAAATTGACATACAATTTCCTAAATTAAATCAACACTATTATTCAGAATTGTTAGTATTTTCATGACTAAAACATCAGCAGCTTCTATGAAGTGACTTTCTCCAAAAAGGAGATTTCTCTTAATCACCTATCTCCCGATAATTGAAAGGGCTATTGGTAGGTTGTATTATTGATGTTAATCTGGATCATTAAACAGTAAAATACACTACACTCGAGGTTCATATCAGATTATCACTGAGCTTGTTCAGTGGTGGCTCTTTTAGGTTTTGCTATGTTATAAAATGTACAGAACTTTTGTGCAACTTTAGCCTAATACATAAAAATGACTGAGGCACAGGATTTCTTTGTTTCTGTCTCATGGTAAATTATTTGTCATGGTTATTCAGTGTATTTATTGAATGTGTTTGTGTGTGTGTGTGTGTGTGTGTGTGTGTGTGTGTGTGTGTAAGAAATCCAACTCTATTTCTTCTTAGTTTCCAAGGCTAGTTTTGGATAGTATTTTTTTTTCAGGGAAGGGCCTGAAATTAAGTAAAACTGTTTCAACATATTGGCTAAATTATGTGAGCAAGAAGACAAATTGGATCAGGTTAATTTAGTAAGTAAATCATGGTAGGAAAGTTACATCAACTCTTTTAAAATTCTCAGGCCACTATTGTATATAGATTACTATTTTAGTATATAAAATTTAGTGTTCTTATAGCCAAAATAAAATAACTATATTTCAGTGAAATTCATTATGTCAGGAAGTATTTTATTAAACATCTTTTTTATTTTAAATTTTTAATTTTTGTGGGTTCATAGTAGATGTATATATTTATGGGATACATGAGATATTTTGAAAGGCATACGATGTGTAATAATCACATGGAGAATGGCGTATCTGTTCTTTTAAGCATTTATCATTTGTGTTATGATCAAATTACACTTTTTTAGTTATTTTAAGATCTATGATTAAATTATTATTAGTTTATGTGTAATAATCACATCATGGAGAATGCGTATCTATTTTAAGTATTTATCATTTGTGTTATGATCAAATTATAGTTTTTCAGTTATTTTAAGATGTATGATTAAATTATTATTATTTTATTTTATTTATTTTTTTTGAGACGGAGTCTCACTCTGTTGCATAGGCTGGAGTGTGATCTTGGCCCACTGCAACCTCCGACACCCTGGTTGAGGCAATTCTCCTGCCTTTGCCTCTTGAGTAACAGGGATTACAGGCACACACCACCATGTCCAGCTAATTTTTTGCATTTTTAGTAGAGATGCAGTTTCACCATGTTGGCCAGGATGGTCTTGATCTCCTGACCTTGTGATGCACCCTCTTCGGCCTCCCAAAGTGCTGGAATTACAGGCGTGAGCCACTGTGCCCGGCCTGATTAAATTATTATTGACTATAGTCACCCCGTTGCGCTGTCAAATACTAGGTCTTATTTATTCTTTCTATTTTTTTGTACCCATTAACCATCCTCACCTACCCTCTACTTCCCTACTACTTTTCCCCAGCCTCTGGTAACCATCCTTCTACTCTCTATCTTCATGAGTTTAATTGTTTTGATTTTTATATTCTACAAATAAGTGAGAACATGTGGTGTTTGTCTTTCTGTGCCTGGCTTATTTCACTTACCATGACCTGCATTTCAGTCCATGCTGCAAATGATAGACTCTCCTTCTTTATGGCTGAATTATACTCCAACATGTATGTGTACTACATTTTCTTTATCCATTCTTCTGTTGATGGACACTTAGGTTGCTTCCAAATCTTGGCTATTGTGAATACTGTTGCAATAAACATGGAAGTGCAGATATCTCTTTGATATACCGATTTCCTTTCTTTGGGGTATATACTCAGCAGCATGATTGCTG